CCACCTCCTCCAGCTCCACCTCCATCTCCACCTCCTCCAGCTCCACCTCCTCCAGCTCCACCTCCTCCACCTCCACCTCCTCCAGCTCCACCTCCTCCAGCTCCACCTCCTCCAGCTCCACCTCCATCTCCACCTCCTCCAGCTCCATCTCCACCTCCTCCAGCTCCATCTCCACCTCCTCCAGCTCCACCTCCATCTCCACCTCCTCCAGCTCCATCTCCACCTCCATCTCCTCCAGCTCCACCTCCTCCAGCTCCTTCTCCACCTCCTCCAGCTCCACCTCCATCTCCACCTCCTCCAGCTCCATCTCCACCTCCTCCAGCTCCATCTCCACCTCTAGCTCCTCCAGCTCCATCTCCACCTCCAGCTCCTCCAGCTCCATCTCCACCTCCTCCAGCTCCACCTCCACCTCCATCTCCACCTCCACCTCCACCTCCTCCAGCTCCATCTCCACCTCCTCCAGCTCCATCTCCACCTCCTCCAGCTCCACCTCCACCTCCATCTCCACCTCCTCCAGCTCCATCTCCACCTCCTCCAGCTCCACCTCCACCTCCATCTCCACCTCCTCCAGCTCCATCTCCACCTCCTCCAGCTCCACCTCCATCTCCATCTCCATCTCCATCTCCACCTCCACCTTCTCCAGCTCCACCTCCTCCAGCTCCACCTCCATCTCCACCTCCTCCAGCTCCATCTCCTCCAGCTCCATCTCCACCTCCACCTCCATCTCCTCCATCTCCACCTCCTCCAGCTCCACCTCCTCCAGCTCCTTCTCCACCTCCTCCAGCTCCACCTCCATCTCCACCTCCTCCAGCTCCATCTCCTCCAGCTCTATCTCCACCTCCATCTCCATCTCCACCTCCTCCAGCTCCACCTCCTCCAGCTCCATCTCCACCTCCTCCAGCTCCACCTCCTCCAGCTCCATCTCCACCTCCTCCAGCTCCACCTCCATCTCCTCCATCTCCACCTCCAGCTCCTTCTCCACCTCCTCCAGCTCCACCTCCTCCAGCTCCACCTCCATCTCCACCTCCTCCAGCTCCACCTCCTCCAGCTCCACCTCCTCCATCTCCACCTCCATCTCCATCTCCACGTCCTTCACCTTCACCATCTCCACCTCCAGCTCCACGTCCTCCAGCTTGACCTCCAGCTCCTCCAGCTCCACCTCCAGTCCACCTCCTCCAGCTCTCCACCTCCAGCAGCAAGGAGATCCAGGGATACATGAGCTCCTTTGTGATGAGACAAGAGATAAACAAGGAGATAAGAAAATGAAGACAGGAGAAGAAGAGAAGAAGAAGAAGAAGAAGGAAAAGAAGGACAGAGAGAAGGAGAAAGAAGAAGAGGAGAATAAGAACAAGGAGGACAAGAGAAGAATAAGGAGAAAGAAGAGAAGAAGAAGGAAGAAGAACAAGAAGGAAAGAAGCAAGGAGAAGAAAAGAAATGAAGAAGGAATGGAGAAGAAGAAGGACAGGAGAGAGAAGAAGAGGAGATGGAAGAAGAAGAAGAAAGAAGAGAAGAAGGAACAGAGGAACAGAGACACTGAACACACTCCTGAGGTTCGTCTGAAGGTTCGTCTTTTGATTACATTTAAAACTTGACACTGATTAAACGAGTCAGGAAGTGCGCGTTAGCATGCCGGTTACTGTTAAAACTCCTCACTGCTCGGAGGAAAAGGAACGAGGAACGAGGAAGGAGGAAGGAGGAACCTGAGGAGCAACTTCTGAAAGGTCAGAGACGACACGAGTTCTCAAACTGAAAACACTCTGTCCCACTTTGTGATGTCACGAGGTGTTTTTGGAGTAACAGATTACATGTACCGGAGTTATGTAATCAGATTACAAATGATGAGTAACTGTATTCAGTTACAGTTACTGTTTCAGTGAGTGGGAATTGGATTACAGTTACTTTGTTGAAATAAATGGATTACACAGAATAAACCAGACACAGACTAAACCAGACTAAACCAGGACTAAACCAGACTAAACCAGACTAAACCAGGACTAAAACCAGGACTAAACCAAACTAAACCAGGACTAAACCAGAACTAAACCAGGACTAAACCAGGTCTAAACCAGAACTAAACCAGAACTAAACCAGGTCTAAACCTAAACCAGGACTAAACCAGGACTAAACCAGGACTAAACCAGGACTAAACCAGGACTAAACCAGGACTAAACCAGGACTAAACCAGGACTAAACCAGGTCTAAACCAGAACTAAACCAAACTAAACCAGGTCTAAACCAGAACTAAACCAGGACTAAACCAGGACTAAACCAGGACTAAACCAGAACTAAACCAGGACTAAACCAACTAAACCAGGACTAAACCAGAACTAAACCAGGACTAAACCAGGTCTAAACCAGAACTAAACCAGGACTAAACCAGGACTAAACCAGGACTAAACCAGAACTAAAACCAGGACTAAACCAGGTCTAAACCAGAACTAAACCAGAACTAAACCAGGACTAAACCAGGACTAAAACCAGGGACTAAAACAGGACTAAACCAGAACTAAACCAGGACTAAACCAGGTCTAAACCAGAACTAAACCAGAACTAAACCAGGACTAAACCAGACTAAAACCAGAACTAAAACCAGGACTAAACCAGGACTAAACCAGGACTTAAACCAGGAACTAAACCAGGACTAAACCAGGAACTAAAACCAGGACTAAACCAGGTCTAAACCAGAACTAAACCAGAACTAAACCAGGACTAAACCAGAACTAAACCAGGACTAAACCAGGAACTAAACCAGGACTAAACCAGACTAAACCAGGACTAACTAAACCAGGACTAAACCAGGACTAAACCAGACTAAACCAGGACTAAACCAGGACTAAAACAGGACTAAAACAGGACTAAACCAGAACTAAACCAGGACTAAACCAGGTCTAAACCAGAACTAAACCAGAACTAAACCAGGACTAAACCAGGACTAAACTGGAACTAAACCAGGACTAAACCAGGACTAAACCAGAACTAAACCAGGACTAAACCAGGACTAAAACCAGGACTAAACCAGGAACTAAACCAGAACTAAACCAGGACTAAACCAGGACTAAAACCAGGACTAAACCAGGACTAAACCAGGACTAAACCAGGACTAAACCAGAACTAAACCAGGACTAAACTAGAACTAAACCAGGACTAAACCAGGACTAAACTAGAACTAAAACCAGGACTAAACCGGACTAAACAGGACTAAAAGGACTGAAAGGACAAAAGGTCTGAACCAAGGAATGAGAGTCGGGATGGGCCCGGAGCTGCGAAAGGACCAGCTTGGGGTTCTCTCTCGCTCTCAAGTCCAAGATTAGTCCTGTTTTGGTGTAGACCTGGTTTAGACCTGGTTTAGTCCTGGTTTAGTCCTGGTTTAGTCCTGGTTTAGTCCTGGTTTTAGTCCTGGTTCAGTCCTGGTTTAGTCCTGGTTTAGTCCTGGTTTAGTCCTGGTTTAGTCCTGGTTCAGTCCTGGTTTAGTCCTGGTTTAGTCCTGGTTTAGTCCTGGTTTAGTCCTGGTTTAGTCCTGGTTTAGTCCTGGTTTAGTCCTGGTTTAGTCCTGTTTAATATGAACATTTGAAGACCACAGTTTGTCAGTAGAAAATGAGCTGAAGCCAGAGTTGGTGGAGACGTCGTTGTCCGTGATCCCAGGAGGAGAGTGTGAAGGTTCTCGCTCCTCGTGTGAGTCGATGTTTCTGAGGTTCCCACAGAAGAACTTTGTGTCACTAAAAGTTCAAACACGAGACTCTGCGGCGGCGACGAGGAAAAGTAAACGTTTTTATTCCGTCGACGTCCGACTCGGCGAATCGTCCGGTCTCGGCGCCGTCGTCGCGTCTCTACCTCACGGGCATCCGGTACCGCACCTCCTTCCAGAACCTGCAGCTCGGAGACACGCAGGGCGACAGCGGCGCCTCTACGTCCGCGTCCGCGTCGTCGCCCGTCGTCCTCGCGCCGCACGCCGTCCACCGGGGGGCGCCGCTCCTCCTCCGACGACGACTCCGACTCTTCCACCAGCGAACGGCGCCTTGAGTCCGACGCAGGTGACGCACCGACTCCGGGAGGAGCTCAACGTCTGAAGAACCCAACTCCTCCAGCTCCACCAGGATCACCTGAACACAACACACAACATCAGACACACAACACAAACACACAACACACCATCAGACACACAACACAACATCAGATACACAACATCAGATACAGACACACAACACAACACAACATGAGACACACAACATGAGACACACAAACACACAAACACGTCTGAGGAACCCAACTCCTCCAGCTCCACCAGGATCACCTGAACACAACACAACACAGACACACAACATCAAACACACAACACAACATCAGACACACAACACAACATCAGATACACAACATCAGATACAGACACACAACACAACACAACATGAGACACACAACATGAGACACACAACATGAGACACACAAACACACAAACACGTCTGAGGAACCCAACTCCTCCAGCTCCACCAGGATCACATGAACACAACACAACACAAACACACAACACACAGAACAACACACAACACACACACACAACACAACACAACATGAGACACACAACATCAAACACACAACACAACACAACATGAGACACACAACATCAAACACACAACACAACACAACATGAGACACACAACATCAAACACACAACACAACATCAGACACACAACACAACATCAGACACACAACACAACATCAGACACACAACACAACATCAGACACACAACACAACATGAGACACACAACACAACATCAGACACACAACATGAGACACACAAACACGTCTGAGGAACCCAACTCCTCCAACTCCACCAGGATCACCTGAACACAACACAACATCAGACACAGACACACAACACAACATGAGACACACAACATGAGACACACAACATGAGACACACAACACAACATCAGATACACAACACACACAAAACACATGTGGTTTTAAAGCTGCACTGTGTAACTTTTCTGGAGGAGGGACC